CAGTTATGGAGGCTCTTCTCATGCCATCTTTTGCAAAAGTCATATAAGAATATTGGATGATCAGGCTTTTTTCCTTTTTCCCCAATTCTGATAGCATCATTAAAATCACTTTGGGTTTAGGGAGTACATTTCCACTTTAGATTTCACAGTTATTAAGGATTGTATGTGGCTAGAACTAATTAGATCTCAGATAGTAGTTATTTTAGCAAGATCAACAAGGTTCTTTATCTATTGCAGAATTCAGAAAGAAGAGGTTACTAGAATCAGTGACTGAGTATAGTCTATGGATGGAAAGAATGAAATTAAATGAGGATCAGACTGAGAAAAAGAACCACTAACTGGAAAGAAGCTTGAAAAATAATAACAAAATATAGGATGACAGGGTTATGGGTTACAGATTGTATCCTACTCCTTAATTATGAGTGAGAAATATCCTAGCCTATATTTCTCAATGTTTTGTTTATTTTGTTAAGTATGTCACACACTTTGAAATCAGAATTCTGTCAATTCTTAAAAAAATATATACATAAACAATTTAAGGAGAAGCTCCTCAAACAGTAGGCAGACATCAAGACATTCCTTCATACTTTGCTGTATCATTGGACAGAATATGTTGAAGTCTTTGTGATTTTAAGGAAGTCATAAAGAGGCTCTGAAACTTAAACTGTGTCTTTGTTATCATGACAGATTGGTATTCAATTATAGCATATTACACTCAATAGCTGGATGTTCATACGTTTGCACCTCTGTAACAAAATACCACAGAGTGAGTAATTTAAAAACAATAGAAAGGTACTTCTCACAGTTCTGGAGGCTCAGAGGGCCAGGATCAAGATGCTGGCGGGTTAAGTTATCTGGCAGGGGCTGCACTCTGCTTCTCAAATGGCCTTGAACACCACATCCTCTGGAGGAACCCTGTCCTAACACAGCAAGGCAGAAGGGCAGAAGAGATCAAATGTCCTCTGTCAAGCCCTTTTATAATGACTTTTCATGTGAAGCCCTCATGACCTAAACCCCTCCTGAAGGCTCCACTTCCTGACACAGCTGGATTGGAGAATAAATTTCCAATGCATGGAATTTGGGGGAACACACCTAGATCATAGAGTTCTGTCTCTGGCCCTACAAATGTATGTCCTGCTCACAAGTAAAAATATGCATTCCATCTCAAAATTCATTCCATCAAAAAATCACCCCAAAATTCTTAACTGTTCCCAGTATCAATTCAAAAGTCTAAAATTCAATGTCTCATCTGAATTAGGTATGGGTAAGACTCAAACGTGTGTTTCCTCCTGAAGCTAATTGCTCTCCCATTGTGAGTCTGAAAAATCAAACTAGTATGTACTTCTAAACTCCATTGATGGAACAGGCATAATATAGACATCACTATTCCAAAAGGTAAAAATTGACAAGAAGAGAGAGGTTACAGCTCCTAAGGAATTCCAAAGCCTAACAGGGCAAGCAATATGAAATCTTAAGCTTGAGAATATGTCATGCTTTCCAGATACACTGGGGTGAAGGTTGAGTCCCCAAGGCTCCAGGAGATTCTGCCTCCATGGCTATGCTAGGCACAGCCCAGACTGTACTCTCATTGGCTTGAATCAGGTGCCCAGGCTGGCATTGCACACTTGTGGATCTACAGTTATGTGGTCTCAAGGGCACTCCTGCCCCCATGACTTTACTATG